CAAAAATTGAATTATTGGGGTTTTTTGATATGCCAAATCTAACCGTGTATTTAGATTTTAAATTTTGGGTCCCGTTTTTAAATTGGTCTACATTAAGGTCCAAAGGGTCCAAAATTAAACTTAGTTTGATTTTAACAAAAATTGAATTCTTGGGGTTCTTTGATATGAACATGTGTTTAGATTTTTTATTATGGGCCCAGTTTTCAAGTTGGTCCAAGTTGGGGTCCAAAATTAAACTTTGTTTGATTTCAACAAAAATTGAATATATGGGGTTCTTTGATATGCTGAATCTAAACATGTATTTAGATTTTAGATTTTTGGCCCAGTTTTCAAGTTGGTCCAAATTGGGGTCCAAAATTAAACTTTGTTTGATTTCAACAAAAATTGAATATATGGGGTTCTTTGATATGCTGAATCTTACCATGTATTTAGATTTTTTATTTGTGGGCCCGCTATCAAATTGGTTCATATTGAGGTCAAAAGGGTCCAAAATTAAACTTTGTTTGATTTCATCAAAAATTTAATTATTGGGGTTCTTTGATATGCCAAATCTAACCGTGTATTTAGATTTTTAATTTTGGGTCCCGTTTTTTAAATTGTTCTACATTAAGGTCCAAAGGGTCCAAAATTAAACTTAGTTTGATTTTAACAAAAATTGAATTCTTGGGGTACTTTGATATGCTGAATCTAAACATGTGTTTAGATTTTTGATTATGGGACCAGTTTTCAAGTTTGTTCAAGTTGGGGTCCAAAATTAAACTTTGTTTGATTTCAACAAAAATTGAATATATGGGGTTCTTTGATATGCTGAATCTAACCATGTATTTTGATTTTGGACATTGGACCATAATAGGTAAATTAAAAAAATTGAAGTTCTTAGACCACATTCTTTCTGTGTCAGAACCTATGCTGTGTCAAATATTTAATCACAATCCAAATTCAGAGCTGTATCAAGCTTGAATGTTGTGTCCATACTTGCCCCAACTGTTCAGGGTTCGACCTCTGCGGTCGTATCAAGCTGCGCCCAGCGAAGCATTTTATTTCACATGCAGCCGTGAAAAAGGTTCATTATTCACCGTGTTTCCTGAAATCGGTAAAAAGATCAACGTGCAAGAAATTTTTAATTGTTCGTTCATCATGAAATGGCAATTTTATTTCGCATTCTTCCGTGCAAAAACCCCCCCTTTACGCCCCTCACTTCATTCTAGTTGTTTATGTTGAAGTCCTCACATACTACTACTTACACAAAACTATTTTAGATTCTGATGAATCAGCATGATTAAATGCAATTAAGCAAAGTCTAAATAAAGTTCTAAAAGAATTTTGAAAAAAGTTAACAACCATGTACAATAAAACGGGGTGCACTGCACCTACTTATCAGATAAGTCCCTGTATGTATTGATGTAGCACTGGATATTTATATAACTAAGGTTTTCTCTTTGAATTAAACTGTTTATGTTGTAAGTCTTTTATCTGAGGGGAAGATTTATATGGGTGATATTTCAGTTAGAGGCTAAGAGAGTCAATATTGACTGGGATTAAAGGGATTACTATAAAAGATAGATGCTGGGTTCAAGTAGGCGGGTCTTTCATTCATGTTCCGGTATCAAAAGCTAGATTTAATTTGCTTAAGTTTATATTATGTCCAGAAGTGAGTCATAATTGTAACGTTTTAGTATAATACATGGATTTTTCGAGCTTTTAGAATATAAGATTATACCAAGGAGGCAACCAGAAAAGGGTTATCATTAAAAAAAAGAATTGGCATAAAATAACTGTTATTTTTTATGCTTATGTGGTTTTTTAGTTTTAAAAAAACAGTAAAAATGTTCTTGATTGAAGAAAATTTTAAATTTTAATATTTGATCATTGTAAATTTTGACTTAAAAAAAACTAAATTAGAAAATTTGTCCTAATATTTGATTCTGATCATCTTGATCACTGTATGCTCATCATGAAAAGTTAACTGTTGGAAATTCAACGAGAAGAAACATTTTGGATGAAAGATGCCAAAAACATAAAGTTAAAGTTTCAACTCAGGTGTCTGGTCAGTGAGTGTCTTAAGTTACTATACATGTATATCTTGATGTTGTTGTCATATATAGGGAGTTTGCTGTGATGGCAGATCCTTGATAGCCTCTGTTAAATAGTAAATTGAGACACTAGTCTCGATAGATCTTTTGTTTAAAACTGTTATGTATGTTGATATCTAGATATCTTTTGGTTTTTTAGTGTCATTGGGTTTTTGCTTCATTGACATATATAGATATTCCACATCTATTATTCAATTTGAAATTAAGATAGTGAACGGATCAGTAAATTTAAAAAGTTACACCATATACATATAGTATGTTCCATAATTTATAGAAAGAATATTGGATATTAAATGTATAGTGAAATTCATAGGACAAAAAGTATTGCTGTACTTGTTGTATCATAGAAGTTAATTTAATACCATGGTATCTCCTGTTAAAACACAGGATTTAAACACGGAGTAATTTAATGCAGGTGAAAACCTAAACATCCTGATATCTGCAAACATTGGTAAAATCATTAGTCAGTTCTTGAAAGATCTGTAACTTTGCTTAGGTGATTAGTTAGATCTTTGATAAAGAACTGTATCAACAAACATAAGTTTACAGTAAAACAATTTGGGTAACCAGATATATTTAATATTTACTAGGTTTCAATACAATTAAGATAATTCTGTATTTACTTATTGATTAGAAGTATTAACAAGATGGTCGATGAGAAAGATAATTTTTCTGTAGGAAATAGCTTGAGGATAGGTTTTCATTTTAATTTGTGTTGTCAGGCTAACTTGTTTTTGAGTCTCAATGGAAATTCTTAACAACATATGAATGATTTGAATATATAGTGTAATGGAAGATTATATTTCAAAATGTCTACTTTTGTCCTGATTGGTTGACATAAACTTGATAAAGATGTTTCAAATGAAAGTCAACATTAGGTTTTGATTGGTTGCTTTTAAAATTATTATTTTCTTATGAAGCTTTTTGTACATTGATCTTCGGAAAAGGATTTATGGTGATTTAACATATATATTGAACAGCAATGTCACAAATATATTAGATTAACCAATTTATTTATAGAACAGTGCTTATTGCTGTTATTCATCTACACACTTATGGTGATCGATTCTTCAAGAATTAAAGCTCTTACAAATAAATGTTCTTGAATATTATTTATTAAAAGAATATTCAATCAAAATCTTAATTGTAAAAATTTGTCAAATTTGATGGATTATAAATTGTTTTTTTCCTTTGTTTTGTTTTGTATTTCTTTTAAATGAAATCCTTATGACTTGAATATTATTGATATGATGTTAAAAAATCTCTTGAGTGTGAAAATCATCGACACATTTATTTGTTACACAGGGTTATATTTATTTATTGAAAATTTTGCACTATTATACCCCAATGGGTTTGATGGCAAACATGAAAACAAAATAACACATTACATAATATATCACAATGATATTAAAAAAAAAGACATGAATTCATATATGTACAGGAATCTGATGTTCAGTAGTTGTCGTTTGTTGATGTGGTTCATATGTGTTTCTCGTTTCTCGTTTTTTATATAGATTAGACCGTTGGTTTTCCCGTTTGAATGGTTTTACACTAGTAATTTTTGGGGCCCTTTATAGCTTAATGTTCGGTGTGAGCCAAGGCTCCGTGTTGAAGACCATACTTTGACCTATAATGGTTTACTTTAATAAATTTTGACTTGGATGGAGAGTTGTCTCATTGGCACTCATACCACATCTTCTTATATCTATATATCGTGCAGTTTTGTTATACTAGCTAACAATATGGACATTTTTGGTCCAAATTTTGACTGAAATAATGTTTGTGATATATCTAAACTTTCTACAACCTCTTTGTCATAAACCAAAATTTCTCAAGGTTTAAATTGAAATGTTAATTGTCAAACATAGGATACTTGAACCACTCAAAACATTAAAGCGACAGTAACTTAAAACTTTTTCAAATATTTCCTTTTTGTTAGGGATATAATTGGCGATATCGGAAGTGATCTTTGGGGATGTCTGATGTTACAAGTGCCCTCTAATTATATCACTAGACAAATACAATTACAGCTAGAGTTGCATTGTTATGAAGAGATCCTACATTTATAGTCTGCTGCACAAACCTCTAGACTTGTGATAAAGCCTTGTACAAATTGATTCAAGATTATATTCATGTAATATGTATTATGTTTGGTAAAGTATTTGTACTCTCAGTCACTTGACAGAAATAGAGTTAGGGATTGAGATGCAGGTATTAGCTAAGATATGTCTCTGAGGGGGGGGGGGGGTTATTTCAGGTCATGATGATCCGACTTAAATAGTCAAACTTCAATCTGAATATTGACTCTAATAGTCTTCTTCAGTATTTTTTGTTTTCAAAAAAAAGGAGGGGGGGGGGGGGGGGGGGGGGGTCATCTGGGTGTGGGGTTTCACAACAACTCTGTCAAATTTTGTCATATTCACCTTGGTTTTTGTTTTATAAAAAATAAATACAAACCAATGAATTGCAATTGCATGCTTAATTATTTTGATGAACAAAATGAAATGGGATGTCAGCTCCATCGTTTTGGTGCCAGGGACCATGTAGAAATTTTGCCTACTCCCTCCATGGATTAATAAAAAAAATCCCCATATTTACAAGCTGTAGTGTATATAGATTTTTGTATTTATATAACTTAGTTTTGGTTTCCCCAATCAATGCTAATAAAAGTTTGAATCAGGCAAATTTATTATAAGGAACCGGTTTGAATGAGCCAATTTTTATATGATCGCAAAAAAAATTTCGGTTGTTGTATATTGGTATCACGTCATCGTTGTCCGAAGACATTTGGTTTCCAGAGAATAACTTTAATAAATGTAAGTAGAAATCTATGATGGGCTTACTAAGTATCTTTGATAAGAATTTGGTTGTAGAATATTTGTTTTTAATTTGTTCTTTTATCTTTAGGTAAATGAGGTATTAAACTTGGCTATGCTGACTGGTGTTAAACAGATCTATCCACTGGGAATATATCTTGTGTCTGAAGACGGAGGTGCTAGGGATGTCACTTTCAACACAGCTTGTCATTCTGTAGAGGAGGATATCATGAAGGTTTGTATCCCAATTGTACTACGCTCCTCCTCAATATTATAAAAATTTTGAAATTTGTCGTGCTGATTATATCAAGTTAAGATAAAAGTGGAAGATACCAAAAGGTCAATTAAAAGTCTAAAAGATACTGACAAAACCATGGAAAAAAAATCAATTAAAAGTCCAAAAGATACTAACAAAACCATGGTAAAAAAACAATTAAAAGTCCAAAAGATACTGACAAAACCATGGTAAAAAAAAACAATTAAAAGTCCAAAAGATACTGACAAAACCATGGTAAAAAAAAAACAATTAAAAGTCCAAAAGATACTGACAAAACCATGGTAAAAAAAATCAATTAAAAGTCCAAAAGATACTGACAAAACCATGGTAAAAAAAATCAATTAAAAGTCCAAAAGATACTGACAAAACCATGAAAAAGAAAAAACAATTAAAAGCTTTATTATATACTTAGTAGTAAATACAGATACATTGTATGTGTAATACAATCATTGGCAAGCGTGCTGTATCAGTCACCGGTGATGATATCGATATCAGCACGGTTGCAAAGGCTTTATCAAACCCCTTATTTGTATGACGTCATGTCATTACGTCATAATGTTACTTTTTCAAAGATGGACGATGTTGACGGTGGTGATGTAGCAAACGTTGAAATTTATATCGAAGAATTTGTACTGTCTATGAGTTGTTTAAAGTATATATAATAAAGTGTATATAATACGGCTTTTTCAATATCACACACTGTATCAACCCTCAACCAATATAATCCTTCGAGCAGAGCTCTCATGATTATATTGGTGTCTCAGGTTGATACGGGTGTGATATTGAAAATGCCATATAATATTCTCTATTTATTGCTAAGAAGCTGTAAATGAGATATACGTATGTTTATTAGAGGCTTTGTGTATGGAAGAACTAAAAATAAAAAACTGAATTTCAGAAGGATTGAAAAAGATTTTATGCTTATCTTTTGCAGCAAATAAAATGTGCAGTGATCCTCAAACATAGATTTATTATACAAATAAGCAATTTAAAGCTGTACCAATTTTCCTTGAACTGTTTCTTCTTCTTTTTGCATAGTTTAAGTTATGCAAAGCTGCAAGAAAACATGTCAATCATGATAATGTTTTGCCAATTATTCTTTCTTCTTTTCAATATTAAGATCAGAGGGCTGCCATTCTGCAGCTTAACATAATTCTATGTTACATTCTCTGTAATATTTTTCAGGTTGCCTCTAACTGTTCCTATATCTATTTGGATGGTACTGAAAGACGAGGCTCACACAACGTCACCATTATCACAAAGTCTGGACATCACACAGCATTCATCCACCTGACAGTGTGGATACCCATGACTCCACTGGATATCAGTCTGTCAGACAACAAACTTAGTTTGATACGAGGCTGGAAAGTAGCATCTACCAGAGGAAAGGCTAATAAGAAAAGGTCATTTTCTCTTAGACAAGTATTGAAATTAGATAAAGAAAGGGGGTACTCTAATATGTCTGTTAGACTTCATAATCCCTCCCCCTCCCCCCCCCCCCCCCCCCCCCCCCAAAAAAAAAAAACAACAACAAAAAACCAATACAATTATGGAAAAACACATCTAATTATCACCTTCTAGACCTTATCAGGCAGGTAGGAAGCTTCATTTCGACATGGATAAAAAGAAAAGAAAGCTGTCAAAATCTGAACAGACTTTTTGGCTTATTGACTTATAAAGTTAACAATAGCTCTTAATTTTATACAATCTGCTATAGACTTGCAACTAAGTATGAAAAGCAGGGTTACTAATTTTACCCATGTGCCAATATCCATACATTACAGGAAATAACAATGGGATGCATATTTTGTAAGTGTTTAGCAAAGATATCAAGAAAGGAAGCTTTTCATCAGACATTGTGACATTGCTGACAAGTTCTGATTATGTCTCAAAGTGGATACAAGAATTACGGAGTGCCTGAGCAGGGTGATATAGATGAAGAAAAGGATGATAATGCTAATGGTAGTGGGGGAAAAGGTGTTTGATACAAGACAGTGAAAGTCATCAACAGTTTAGGGAATTCTGGGTTGACATTCTCAACTGGAAAAAGAAATTTGATATACATGTATGCCACTTGAAAAAAATACAAGTACTTAAACCTAGATTTCTTAATGGGAAAGCTGAATCAGCAGTTTCCTGTCACTGTAATACAAAATTTTCCATGTCTACCAAGAAAAGATAACATTGAATAATCAATACCTCTTTTGTGTCTGTATTTTATCAAACCATTTTGTTTTTAACAGATCAAGGAATAAACGTTTAGTAGACCTTGGAATGCTAACTCATCCAAGCGTTTATCTTAGAGATGGTGGGAAGAAGTACAAAGGCTGCCATCTACGATATCAACAAGCAGAGCTAGACATTTATGGCGTGTTTTATATCGCCACATCGTCTGGGATCGATTATTTCAAAGGGAAGAAGGTAGCTCTGAAGCTGACTGATCTTCTACAGAACAGGTTGAGGGTGTCTGACCCTAGGATAGCTCAATTGAAGGATGGCATTATACAAGGTGTTGGCCCAGGTGTCACAGAGATACAGGTAAGATGTGGTATTTGAGGAAGATGGCATTATACAAGGTGTTGGCCCAGGTGTCACAGAGATACAGGTAAGATGTGGTATTTGAGGAAGATGGCATTATACAAGGTGTTGGCCCAAGTGTCACAGAGATACAGGTAAGATGTGGTATTTGAGGAAGATGGCATTATACAAGTTGTTGGCCCAGGTGTCACAGAGATACAGGTAAGATGTGGTATTTGAGGAAGATGGCATTATACAAGGTGTTGGCCCAGGTGTCACAGAGATACAGGTAAGATGTGGTATTTGAGGAAGATGGCATTATACAAAGTGTTGGCCCAGGTGTCACAGAGATACAGGTAAGATGTGGTATTTGAGGGAAGACTTCTATCAGGACTTTATAACAACAAATATGATGTTCAAGGCCAAAATATTAAAAGACTGAAACCAAAAACAAATTTTTGAGAGTTGAAAGAGATAAAAACAAAAACAAGAAATGACACAAAATCTGCATAAAAGTATTACTAAATGATTGCCTAATACACATCAAATAGAAAATTACAAAAGAATGGGATTTTTATGAGGATTGCTCTCTGTATGAAAAATAAAAAATACTGGTTTTAGTGCACCAGATCGAAAACAATGTATCTTCAGTGCTGCTAGAGGCCAAAATATTTTAAAATCCATAACTCATACAAACATGAAGAGCTCATTAAATAAGAACATTCTTAAAGTAAGTTTACATGTATCTGTTCATTTTTTTATGCCACCACCGTAGCGGAGGGGGCATTAAGTTTTACCCTTGTCCGTCTGTAAGTCCGTCAGTACGTCCGTCCTAGAGTTATGCCTGTTTACAAATAGAAAAATTGCTAAATTTTTTCGTTTCTGTTCTCTAACTTAAGTTAGCCTCAACCAAATGTTATGAGACTTATACACAATACTTATTACCACAAAACTCAGATCAAGTACAAATTTGGGTAGCGTCACTTTTACTGTTCTTCAGTTATGTCCCTTTATAACTTTATATGATATGCAAGCGGGGGCATCATCTGTGTCCCATGGACACATTCCCCATTTATTTTATCATGAAACAGTTGATTTTCTATAATGTTTTGTGTTCATCAAATCAAAATGGCTGCCTTTCTAACGTGTATTATAGGTACGCTTTGAAGTACAAAAGTTTTAAATTTTCCTATTAGAATCGAAATAATTCTATCATGCATGCTCATTTTAAAATGGGTAGGCATTATATTTGTCAACATTTTACCCCTTGCTAACACTTGGTATAAAGATATTGATAAATATAATGCCTACCCATGTTAAAATGAGCATAGAGCATTGCATGAAAGAGTTATTTCTTAAATTAATTTTATCGTAAATATTAAACATTAGAACAATAGAATAAAATTTATACATTTTTTTCTAGGTTTTGTCTCCTAATGGCCACAGTATAGCAATATCAGAAGTACGTGTTGGTAGTGACAAAGTTTCCCTGACCAGACTGGTCATAAATGTTATCACTGGGGTGACTGTGGATGTACTGGGTTCCAGTGAAGTACCTGGAGCGCTTCTTATAAAGGCTCATATAGATAGCCAGTTTAGAACAGAGTACCAGGTACAGTAATTCAAAACTAAAAACATATGAAGCTGGTGATTGGTATCTTTTCCCCCAATATTATTTTGTAAAACATTAAAAGAAAGGCACTTCTTATTGTTACTTTTTGCTGGTAACCGTAGCCAGTGGCTAAAAGAAAACAGGAATTACCAAAAATATTGGACAGTACAAAAAACCACACTAACACCAGACTCCTCAGGAAATAATACATAAAAACAAAGACAAAGAAAAACAACAAACAACACATGGTCCAGATATCCTGACTCGGTATAGACACACAACAAACAACACATGGTCCAGATAGCCTGACTTGGTATAGGCACACAACATACAACACATGGTCCAGATAGCCTGACTTGTTTTAGTTTTAGGCATGCACAAATCCATTCCTTTGCCTATCTAGACCATATCTCCTAACCAAGGATCCGGAAATTTTTCCACACAATTTCGGTCATTTTGAGATGATTGAAAAGTTGGTGCCCCTTTCCAAATAATTTGTCGATGTCAACTTGAGTCTTGACTAGATTCCTAGCATCAACAAACTTGTATTGCTGTTTCATTGCATTTACTAAGTAAATGTCTTACCATTACCATGAAGAACAGTTTAGGGAAGGCAATAGTTTAAAATTGAAATGATTTTAATGACTCAAAATGGTAAATCTCTCAGACATTGCTTATGTTTCTTTCGATTTGACAAAAGTTAAAACCGGAAGTTTGCGATAAAGTTAAAGTACGAATAATTCCGGATTCATTTCCGGGATTTGTTTTGTTTATCAAATTGACAGGCTTTTTATGTTTTTTTTTATTTTATTACCTTTAAAAGTGTTTGAATGTAACAGACAATAGTTGCACTCGTTTAATTTAGCATGAAATCAATTTGCATTTTTCGATTAAATATTAAATTTGCTGAAGACAATTTCACGCATGCGTATTATATAGTAAATAAAGCACATGAAAAAATACTTTTTTCTCCCTAAATTTAGGTTTAATTTTTAAATCAGATTTGATGATTGTCTTTGCTGAAAAGTAATTAAATAATGAATACCCTTGTCAGGGAATTTCAATTTTTGTTAAGATATTATTCTTAGCTTGTGATCACTGTCAGGTGTGAATTAAAACCACAGGTAAAAAGTGATTAGCGATCATTAGCCAATGTTTCCCGGAGGCATTGATATAGATATTAGGAGGGCCCTCAAGATTATCAAACTACTGGAGTGGCAGTTTTATTACAGGAAAGGGATTATAAACAAAAACAAGTGATCACAACTTACACAAGACAGTGCAAAATGGCGATTAAGAAATCCGATTTCAAACATTGAGTCAATGAAATGACCGAAATTACTTCTTTAAAAAAATAAAATTTGTCCTAAATCCCAATTACTCGTTTAGGACAAATAGTTTCATCTTAGGACATGACTGGCATATATGACCGTTTCCGGACCCTTGCTCCTAACATTAAAATAAACAATATGGTTTTGGTCATCTGTAACGATTTGTTGTACCACTTATCGAGAACCACATCCAACTGTGATTACCAGTAGTTGTATTTGATACCAAGATTAAGTCCAAGTCAGTACATACAAACATAAAATATCCTTATAATGAGAATCAAACATGCAGCAGGTGGATTTGTTTGCTAAAACTTTTAATAATAAAACGTGAACCAAGCAAGTTCTATTACACAATGTACTGGAAATTAAAAAAAATTTGCATGCATTTATTGTTGCCATTTTTTTAACAATGGACAAAAAAAATTCTGAAACATATATTGTCTCAATTTTTTGCAGTAATAAAAACAAAGCAAAAATTTCTGAATTTATAGTATTATGGTATGTTCACACTTCATTGCCTGTTGATATATTGTTTTCCCATTATTAAACTGAAGCCATTTTTATCTCTAATGACACGACTTTCTCCATTGAACTGTGTGCTACTAAAAATATTATGGTACAAAAGTTACTTACTCAAGAAGTTTGTACTGCAATTATTTAAAAAAGAATTGAAAATACCAAAAGATGAAAATTAGTTTAGTTTATACTTTATGTAGAAAAAAGATACGTGATATGAAATAGATATTAAAATAATATTATCTGTTTAACAGGAAGGAATCATCAATATAGCACTGCAGTTTTCTGATGAAACCAGGATACCCCTGAAATATGTCAACCCTGATGATTATCACATGGCTGTGTCTACATCCTACCGCCATCTTGTAGGTGTAGTTAAAGATAGTAAACCATATCAGCCTAGAATTGTGGCTATAAAGGAGGGACGTGGAGAGCTATTCAAAATAGAATTCAAATTAGGGAAGAAATGTCACAAAAAGAAGTCCCTCCCATTACAGACAGATATCGTTATTATTAATGCTGATTTTTCGCTTCCAAATACAATACACACTGATCAGACTTTGAATGATTGGCCTGATCATGGAAACCAGCCAAGTGAAAGACGGGAAAACAAGCGACTAGACAAACCAATTTACAGTTTTAAATCCTCACAGAAAGACGAAGCACATGAGATCAAAGATAAAGGAAAATACAGCAAAAAGAGTTCCTCAGATTCACAAGTGTATGGCATTGGCATTGATCTGAATGAAAACTTAAAGCAAATGGCTCGATCCTCAAAAAATAGGGCTCAATCTTTGCAAAATGAACCTGAAAAGAAGCGGGCTGAAAATCCAGGGCTTCCTCCATTGGAAGTTGGAATGTATGTTTTGTTAGCAGTGTTTGGTGTTGTGTTTACTGTTTTCTTTAGCATTGTTCTAATGTACAGACATAAAAAGAAGCATGCCACAAATAAAAATAAAGGTGGTACTGTGGCACAAGCTAATGACTGGGTGTGGATAGGACGTGCCACTTTAGAACGTAATGCCATCAATACACAGTGTTCACAGGCACTCATGCCTGATAATGATTTCAACGGAAATCGACCTGTACAAGTGGACAGTGGCATCCACTCGGGAGTTCACTCAGCACAGAGTAGCAATCGTAACAGCTTTGTATCTACTATAAAAGGATCTGAATGTAGTATCCGCATCACTGCCAATCCACTGCCTGAAGAGCTACCAACAAACAATAACAACGGCAACAGGGAACCAGAGTGGGATTACGAAGCTATGGGTATGAACTATGACCAGCTAGCAGACTATTTTGATAACCTTAAAGAATCTACTGCTTAAAATGAGATAGTTTAACCTTGTTCAGCAGATCATCAAGTTGAGTTGTGAACTTATTTTTATGGAGGAACTAGCAGTTCAGATATTATTTTGAATTCGTCAGTTAAGTTATAAAAATACTGTTTATAAGAGTTGTTATAATTATATTTCATGTATATATACACATCAATGAAATCCACAATGTTATTCATCTACAGTTCTACACTTTTCGATTTGAGAAACATTAAACATTATCTCCTTGACTGTTAGGTGATTTATTATCCTCTGGTGTAAGTTTTGAGCTTTACACATTTCGATATGGATGTGAAACATTAAACATTATCTACTTTACAAGAGTTTACAGCTTAAATTTTCATGGTCGAAGGGAGATAATTTATAAATCTCTTAAGGAGGTAGATAATTGTGGAATGTTTCTCATTAAATATTTTATGAAAAGAAGTTGTTTTTTGTCATAAAATGATGTATTTGATTTTTTTTTATAAAGTAATACAAGTGTTCTAAGTGAACTTTCAACTATTTAATTTAGAATAAGGGTTTTATTTGGGTTTGCAATTTTTCAGATGTTATTGTATCTAAAATTAAAATTTTGATACTTATGAATTATTCCTACAGGTCTTCAAATCAGAAATTTCTTTCATGACAATTTTTGATAATTAATTGAGTGTTAATAAAAAGTTGTCTTTCTTTAGGGTAGAATTAACCTTTTCAAATTCACTCAAAATTACTGGTATAAGACTGTTACCTGAGCAACAGGCGACTAAAGTTCAAATGATTCATTACCATGTCTCTCCAAATCAGAGAGCTAAATCAGGGCACTTGTTAATTTCCAATTTTGCATGCAGCTTTATTAACTGTCATTTAAGCAACAGAACCCAAAATATTAAGCTAGTTATAACCTTATCTCTAAACCAGATATATGTTTTTTCCCCAGTAATGGATGCTAAAAATTATTACTGTATATGCAATCTGTTTGCAGCACACTTTCACTACCCAATAAACGAAAGAACTAGTTAAGTATTTAATTTGGTCAAGTTTAGTATTAGATTTGATCTAGTTTAGTATTGAATTTGCTTGAAAGTCTCACATTTTTTTAATGAGCTCGGTTCTATGAATTTAGGTTAACTCAAGATGAAAAAGAATAGCTTTATGTGATCTCGTTCTTCTTAGTTCTATAATTCTTCCATTTGTTACTCATGCTTGCCATTTTTATAGATTTTTTTGTTAGTTATGCATTTACATAGATTTTTAGGTGCAATGAATACCGTGTTATTAATCTTTTATCGGCTATATTTGTAAGCTTTATGTAATTTCGTGCTGTTTCTATTATTGGTATATTGTGAAATAAGTTACTTAATTGATAATGTTGGTGAGGTAATTTTTTTTATTTTAATGATTGTTAGCATGTTAGGAAGCATGTTAGGAATTAAAAAGAATAAAAAAAATGTTTTTTCAATAAACTTCTGAAAATTTTACTATTCTTATTTTGAGATTTAGTTAATCTGCTGGAAAATGAATTTTAGATCTGATTTTCACAAATTTATTTTGATATTAAGTGTGCCATACTGTTTCACCTAATATAATGTTTTACAATATATGATAACATTGATAAGTTATATATCTGGTAAAAACTTAAATTATGTGATTGTTTTTTCTTTGTACACAGTTTATGATCAGTATTTCAATTACTATGAATGCTTAACATGCTTAAACTGATGTTTAATAAATGTACGTTATATTTATGACCTATTGAATGTTGTGAATTGAATTAATTTTAATGAATTAACTATTTAACACAAACAACCAGTCTCACTTACTTTTCAGAAATTCCAACCAAAATTAACTAGACTTAGACTTGGGTGTAGTTAATAAAGGCCACAGGCAGACATATACATTGTATATATACCTCTACTGTTAAGTTAAAACGCACGGTACAGAAACAATTCATCTTGGTCTGTATTTCTTCAGTATTGAAAACCGTGGGTTCTTCCTATAGATAAGATTAAACTAAAATATATATGTATAAAGAGAAGGGTATTATACAGCTTTCAGTAGCATAGGTACCGCCACATTTTAGGTAGATTACGAAATTAAACTATGGCTAATTTTTTTTTTATGTTTCTTGCATCTGATATTTGTTTATTACTAGTTACTTAGTATACCCTTCCATAGACTTGTGCTAAAATAATACAATGTTTCTTTTCTCTTCGGACCTTTGTTTCTCCTAACATATTGGTGTATATTTATTGGAAGCAATAAACTCATAGGCCGATGTAGGCAAAGACAAATTTAGTAAAATTGATTTATAGATTCTACCGTTCAACCATTTATTATTATAAATTTCACTACAGACTATTTGAATTTCAAAATATTCAAGTTGCTGACTTGCCACTTGACTTTAAGCAACCAACAATCAATCAATCAATCAAGTTGCTGGCAACAAGATTTTGCTTTTTCGCAAATCTAAATTTCAAAATACAGGGAAGATAAGAAATTTCAGGAGTTTGTGTCAGTCAAGTTTCATCAAGAGATGTTTTTTTTAAATGGTAAGGCACTTCAATAATATCTTTTCAACATTTTCTGTTCGATCAAGAGAAAATAATTTTTTAAATGGTAGACACTTCAATATCTTTTCAACATTTTCTGTGACAAAGAAAAAGCAATCTACACATTTTTTTGCTAATATTTGTTGTTTTATAAGTAGTTTTGTTATTATTTATTAGTTGTTAAATACTCAGTTGTACATAGCTTATTATTTTCTGCTGTACATTATGCTGTATTGTAAATAAACATGTACAAATATTGTGATTATCTCCCTTTGTATATATATATAAAAATTGTCTATTGTGTATGTTTTGTGTAGGGTAAAATCTCAAAAGTCTTTATGTAGTCTTTGATGGTTTTATTTATGTTGAATTAGATATATGAAATATGAGTGATACAATTAAAAATGCAGGACATTGATTTTTACCATTGGTGAATAAATTTTTGAAACACTATTAAGGGTTAACAGTATAATTCAAAATTATTCTTCATGTAAACATTCTCTTATTGAGGTAGAACCCCCCTCCCACATGGGGATAACAAAGTTTGAAATCCCTTCTACCTGGATTTGAGTTCAGTTACTTGATGTGTAACATTTTCCACCAGCTTTATTTGTTATATCAAAAAAAAATTATGAACATTTTTATTAGCACTTTTGGTTAAAATTAGTCATTGAACTGTGCTTTAATTTTACAATTGAATGAAGCACAATTACGAAAGATTTAAAATATTTTCTTTCATTTAGCTGTGAAAGTGTCTCCTAAAAAACTAGTTATTCTCAGATCCAGAAAACATACTTCATTGATATTTGAAGTCAATCAAATCACATAAAAGAAAAAGGTCACATGACACAAGACATTTCGAATGCCTTTCATCTTTCTATAGTGGATAGAAATTTAATCCTGGTTATCAATGATAATTTTACATAATGAAATAATATTTTTGCTTAAAAATTAAATTATGCTAGTTTTATGAAAAGTAATTACCTGACATCAATCACCATGGAGATACCCATCATATATATATATTGAATGTTTAAATCCCACAAATAGTTTATAACCATGGTGATATTTACCCACCAATTAATATATATATATAACTGCAGTGCTAGCTTTTCTGCAAATGGTGATATGTGCCCACCAATTATTGTTGTAAGATCATCAGTTTTACATGTATTTATAATGTGCTATTGTTTATTTAGGTATTTCATGAATACCACATTAAATTGTTATTTTATAAATTTATGGTTGTTCTTTTTATGTTTAAAATTTCACAACCCAAAACATTGAATAGAAGAGAGGTCAAAATTAAAATTGAGAATGAAAATGGGGAATATGTCAAAGAGACAACAACCCGACCAAAGAGCAGTTAACAGTCGAAGGCCACCAATGGGTCTTCAACACAGCGAGAAAATCCTGCACCCGTAGGTGGTCCTCAGCTGGTCCCTAAATAAAATTGTGTACTGGTTCAGTGAAAATGGACGTCACACTAAACTCCAAAACATATAAAGAAACTAAATTTGAAAAAACATACAAGACTAACAAAGGCCAGAGGCTCCTGACTTGGGACAGGCGGCTCCCCCTATACCTCTAGCCAATGTAGAATAAAGAAACACATAGCAATACGCACAGTAAAACTCAGTTTAAAACACTACAAAAGTCTAAAAGTCTGAAAAGACCAGTTTTTGTCTTAATTTGCATGAACTTTTACTCGACATTCTCCAAAAGTATGACTTGTGTCTTAATTGTTCTTGACAAATTCTCATTTATATTAAATTTGTATGAAATTTACTCGACATATTCTCGACATTCTGAATATGGTCTTAAAATTTCTTGACAAATTCTTGACATTTGAATACTGTCTTGAAATTTCTCGACATATTCTCGACATTCTTATTTTTCTCAGTATGGCTTGACATATTCTGAACATTTTGAATCGTGTCTTAAATTTACTTGACAGTTCTGAGTTTTACAAATCATGACCAATATTCATGATATAACTTTAATCTTTATTTCTCTTTATATGATATACTGTTGTTTCAAGTTGCACTTCTTTACAACAAAAATAAAAGTTGGGCATGTAAAATAATTGAAAATTTGGGTATATAAATATTTTTACAAATGCAAATATGGCTATGAAATCTAAAGTATAAAATAATTCAAATGTGGGTGTGTTGATATAAAACAATTTCAATGTGGGATTTTAAATAATTACAAATTTTGATTCCTAAATCTTATAAATTAAATGATTCAAACCAATCATACTGTAGACATATTTCATTCTACATTCATAATATTCAATGTTGATATGGTAAATAATTATTATACCAAAATGTGGTTTATATAAATAGCAAATTATGATGATATACAAATCATTCATTTAACAGAAGAAAAATTTGTGTAATGTCATCTGTTGGAATATATTAAGTATTACACATGGACAGGATGTTCCCCATAAAATTAAGGTATTCCACACCCCAGAGTACACGCAACTGTCAAATAGAAGTTATTGCTTTACCTGTAATCAGCCATACAACTTATCAGTTGACCGACCATGCCACTACAATTTAAAAAGTTTGTTGATAGATGAAAATGAAAATCATCATTTTGATGAAAAAAATTTGAATTGAAATGGATTTTCTTCATCAAAATTATGAAGTTAATTATTTTAACATAAAAACAAATTGAATAATTCCAAAAGATTAAAAGAAAATTATTATCTACTCCAGGAATAATAAATATGTATTTATAATGGGTCCCATCAATGATTTCTATAGAAATCATCGGTCTTATGAAAAGGTTCTCACACAGACTTGCATAATATAGATCTAAACATTTTTTTCTTTTCAGGAAGGAGTTATCACAAATATTTATTTTTGATAAAAAAATTATAAAATTCAACACTCAAATTTGAATAAAAAATGTTTTTGGGTTGTTCTAAAAAATGAATAAGGTTTTTGAATCAAGATGGGAACAAATTCTTTGACCTAAACGAAAGCCCCCCCCCCTCTTTTTTTAGCTACACAGACCCAAAATATGAATTGTGGGGTCCAAAAGAGATACAAGACACCTATTTTAGTAAAGCAAATTTGACTTGCAGTTTTGCGAACGGCAAAAATCTAAATGCTGTTTGTCAATACCTTTGACTTATATTCCAAGTGAAAACAATTACTTAAATGTTTAATAAAAATAAATCAAAATTAAACTACATGGGGGATTATTCAGGGTATTGCAACTTAGTTGCACCAAAAGGGTATCTTACTATACCAAATTAATCCTTGATTCTTCAAAGTTTAGTTTAGCCATAATAAAAAGGAGTATACAACAGCAATAGAATGTCATAAACAGTGCAGAATAAGTCTGTTCACATTTCAGGCGAAATTTATACTGTTGAGATAGTGTCAAGACGTTTTTAAGACTGTCAAGAATGTGTCGAGACATATTCAGACATTATTTAGAATGTCAAGAATATGTCGAGACATATTCAGACATTATTAAGAATGTCAAGAATATGTCAAGACAGATCGAGACAAATTTAAGACAGTCAAGAATTGGTCGAGACTAATCCAGACTCTTATCAGATGATACAGGAAGTGTCGAGAAATTTTAAGACAATGTTCATACTGTCAAGACACTTGTCAAGAAAAATCAAGAACCTTATTAGACAAATTCATACTATGTCAAGAATTTTTAAAAATTATTCAGACAAATTAAGAATGTCGAGAAAAAATTCATGCAAATTCAGACAAAAACTGGTCTTTTCAGACTTTTTGACTTTTGTAGTGAAAGAAGTCTTGAGTCCGATGTCAGAATAGGTAACAAAAGAAACTAAGCAAAATGAAATAAGCTACATAAATTAACAAAGGACTACTAGCAGTTACTGACAAGCCAGCTCCAGACCTCAATTAAACTTATTGAAAGATTATGTCTTCATCATATGAAAATCAGGTACAATCCCTCCCGTTAGGGGTTTAGTATCATACCATCATAAAATATATGAGAAGAACATAACCCGTATCATGCCAACAACTGGTTTTAGAATAAATGTGTTTATTTCTGATGCAAAGTCCTTATGAGTGAATCAATATTTATACCAAAATATGCAATCTTTAATGATCTGACAACAGTATCGTAACTATATCCCTTCCAAATAAGTCTGTTTAAAGGTTTGGTTAGCTTTTGAGGTGAATGATGACATTTTTGTGATTTGTAAAGAATATTACCATAAAATATTGGATGTGAAATACCTGAACGTATAAGATGTCTGCATTTATATTTACGAATGATGTCCTTGTACCGATGATAAAATTTAGTAAATGTTTTGACTAGTTTGTGATATCGAAAACCCTGGTGTAATAATTTTTCAGTAATACAGAGATTTCTTTCGTTGAAATCAAATACGTTGTTACATACACGAGTGAATCGAACAAGTTGAGATATATAAACACCATAAGATGGTGACAAGGGAACGTCACCATCTACAAATGGATAATTAACAATAGGAAATGAAAAATCATCTCTTTTATTATAAATTTTGGTATTAAGCTTCCCGTTAAAGATATAGATATCAAGATCCAGGAAAGGGCAGTGGTCATTGTTAGTATTAGCTTAATTTAAAGTCAGTTCGGCAGGATAAATCTTTTTAGTGTACATACTGAAGTCGTCATTATTGAGACCCAATGTATCATCTAAATATCTAAAAGTGTTATTAAATTTTTGAATCAGATGTTGTTTTGATGGGTCTTTGCTGATTTTAGTCATAAATTGTAATTCATAACAATACAGAAACAGGTCAGCAATAAGTGGTGCACAGTTAGTTCCCATTAGAATTCCGACAACCTGACGATATACAGAATCTCCATAGCGAACAAAAATGTTATCTAGTAAAAACCCAAAGGGACATTCAAAGTAATAAATGGAAAACAAACTAACAAAGTCATGGCATTAAACGAAAAAACAACCAAAAGACAAACATTTTTAAAAAGAGTATACAAAACACATCATAGAAAACTAAAGACTGACAAACACCAACATCACCAAAAACTGGGGTTGATCTCAGGTGCTCCAGAAGGGTAAGCATAAATTCTTTATGTTGCACATGGTTTCAATGCCCAATGTCCAGAATTGCCTCTCTCGAATTCAGCTTTCTTGAGATCTGTATACCCTTCAAACAAAGCTTTTAAAGGTGAGGGATACACTGAACACTGTGTTCATAGGTCAATGCAAGTACTGTCTAACTCAGAATTATTTTTGATGCATAGGTTTGTTTTGTCCGTCTGCAAGCCAAGGTCAAACATTTTTACTTAAATACCATACTTGAGTCCTTGCAATAAAGGAATCACTTTGTAAGTTCTTATGTATATCAAATGTTTCTTCATCAAAGTCACATGTTGAGTTCAGGTAAATTTGTTAAAGTTAAGGCTTTGTGTGTGTATACCTTTGTCTTGTTTTTCAACTGCAAGCTTTATTGGTGGTATAACTAGGCAAGTCAAAAGAAAATGGTTGTTGCAGACATCTTGTATAGATTGGTTCATGCAAAAGAATAGGTGAACTACAACTACATACATGTATGTGTGGATAACCCTAAGCTTGGAATAAAGGTTCATGTTGAAATTAAGTCATAAAAGGAACGATAATTTAACTATCCTGATTGGATCAATCTAAGAATCTATATACATGTATATGTATCAGCTCCTAACACATATTATATATCGACTTTGACCCATATTCAATCTATCGATACCTTTATTTTGGCATTGCACAAGGGCATGTTTTTCTCTTAACTGTTAATGAAGTCTTTACACTAAATCCTTTGGATGTTGGATGTGTACTGATTGATATTTTAGTCTTGGATACATGATTTTTTTTATTAGTCCCCTATCGTCTGTCTGTCTGTCCATCTGTCAGTCCGGCAAATCAGTTTTCCTCACTTTTTTTCGTCACGCTTGAAGATATTGATTTGATAATTGGTATATAGTTTATCATGACAAGTTACAGATCAAGTTTGAATTTTGTTTCCGGTCTGATGATTTTGTTTTGTACAGAGTTATGGTCATTGGAAAATTCACTCAAATAATCAATTCTCCACATTTGTTTTCGTCATTCTTGAAGATATTAACTTGATATTTGTTATATGACTTGATATTTGTTATATAGTTTACACAATAACAAGTTAAAGATCAAGTTAGCATTTTGTTCCAGTACAATGAATTTTTAACCGGTAGGGGACTATGTATTGCCA